CGGGTTGGCTGTCGCAAGTGACGACCGGAGAGGGGTCCCTGCCAGCGGTGCCAGGGCTGCCGACTGGGAAATGTGAGGGATCCAATTGCAGCGTGTGGGGTTTGGGGTGGTTTTTTTTTTTAAAATTCGTATATTTTTCTATCCCTGGCTGCCTCCCAGGCGGGGTGAGGGGTGTGCTGGTGTAGTGGCTGCGGTGAGACGCCCTAGGGATGCTTGAGGGCCCTGCAGGTCTCAGTATGCCTTCTCCTCGTTTGCAGGGCAAAGATGAGTCTGTTTGGATCAACGTCGGGCTTTGGTACTGGAGGTACCAGCATGTTTGGCAGTACGACCGCAGATAACCACAACCCAATGAAGGTACGTGCGTTAGCCCCCGCGGGAACCACTCTTCTGCTGTGTTTTAATGTGTCACAGCAGTACCTACTAACTCGCCCCGTAGAAGTAATAGGATCTCGGTGCACAGTTTTCAAATGGGGCTAATTTTGTTCTGTTTTCTGTCCTCTGTAGGATATTGAAGTAACATCTCCCCCTGATGACAGCATATCTTGTTTAGCATTTAGTCCACCAACATTGCCGGGTAATTTCCTCATTGCAGGATCATGGGCAAATGATGTAAGTACTCACAGTCAGACCCACAGATGAATAAAACCAGAGCATTGGTGCCTCAACTGCAAAACGTGATCCTAAAAACTTGTGCCAGGGCACCTGAAAAATCTTTGCACAACTACAAAATTTGGTGCCGCGACACTAAGTTTGACATAGCTGAGCTGCTTCAGTTGAGAAATTCAGTTGTGATCTTCAGATAAGTCATTCCTCTGCCTGTGTGTTTTAAGCTTCAGCTCAGAATATGTAGTCAATGTTTTCCGTGTTAGATTTTTATTACTTTGATTTTTCTTTTTCCTACTGTGGTTTTTAGCTTCATTTTCTTGTACAGTTAGGCTAATACAGTTATGCTTTTCCCAGTGAAAGAACCATGAACAGATTGGTAAGTCATCCAGTTTGACTGCATAGTCTCAAAAAGATTACGTTCCAACAGACTTACTGAAGTTTGTTTGGTGAGATCCCAACTGGCACAAACGTGGAGGGGAAGACAAACATGAGTGCATTTTTTAACTGTTCTGTTTGGTCTGTTGGCCACTAGCCTGCAGCAGGCAGCTTCTTCCTAGCTGACAGTTAAGGGTTCTCCAGGAGAGCACTGGGAGGTGTTACATGATCATAAGGTACTTTTGAGGTGGGGTTGAAGTTGTGGGGTTGAGTTACGGCTGTACAGATAAAAGGAACATAATCAGATAAAATAAGGTTTCACTAGTTCTGAAAAAAGCTTGGTGTTTATAATCGTACCTTTCATTGGATAAACTAAGGCTGGGATCTTCAAGAAGAGAAGTCTTTTAATTAAGTTTTTAGTGTTAATATGTCTGCATATGCTTCTGTTACAGGTTCGCTGCTGGGAAGTTCAAGATAACGGACAGACAATTCCAAAGGCTCAGCAGATGCACACAGGGCCCGTACTAGATGGTTGCTGGAGTGATGTATGTTCCTATTTAAAAATAAATAAATAGTTTTTACCAAACCCATAAATAAATTGGCATGTGGTTTCCAGACAGGCACAAGTGCCACACGTAGATGCAGCCCATGATTATCGTATAGACTTATGTTACTGTAAAAATGTGCTACGCATGTCCTAATAGAATAGACTAACATGGGCGTAGGAAGGGTAAGAGTGAGTTTAAAAGTAAGAATGAATTTAAAGCTAGATAATAGCTAGCACAGTTTTTGCTTTTACAATGTATGGTTGTAAGTAAATTTCCATTTTTATGCTTCATGTGTTACATTAATGTTACACTATTACTAGAAGACAGTAAGACTTCGTAGTTTTCTAATAGATACTGCATGATGGAGCTATTTAATGTCTTGGCCTTATTCTTGTTTTTAAGGATGGGAGTAAAGTATTTACTGCTTCCTGTGATAAAACTGCCAAAATGTGGGATCTCAACAGTAATCAAGCTATTCAGATTGCACAAGTAAGTAAGCAAGCCCCAAGCTATTAGGGTTTGTTTTTTTTCCCTTTTCTACTTTTATTAAAAACTACCTTTATTAGCAAATTAAGCTAATGTGTAGTGCTTCTGAAGTAGATACTGCTAAATAAAGAAGAGGCTGCAGGGTGCTGTTTATATTTTTGAGATAAATGAAGTGCAGATGAATAGGGAGACCTGCAAAGTGATTTGAATAACCTGTGCAGCTGTTCAGTGTCTTTTACTTGAGCAAGCTCTTTCCATTGCTGCTGTGATCTCACCAAGTCACCCTGCAAGTTTTAAGAAATCATTGAATTCCCTTTCACAAATCCCAGATTTCTGCTGCAGCAGTAACAGAGATTATAATTTATGTTCTCAATTTAGAAGTGAATGTCTGTTCAGGGAATGTGTAGTTATGGTGACTAAAATCAGTTACCAGTTACATAATTTAAGAAGGGAGGGAGTCCTTTTAACAATTGCTTCTTGTGTCTTACTTGAGGTGATGAAATTCAGATTCTTAACCTTGATTTTTAAAGTCTTGTTGGTGTGGTTAACATGGGCTTTTCTTCTGTAGCTCTTGTCAGAAGCAGCTGGTTTTATATTAGTTTGTAATAAATAACCTATATTAAAGTGTTGATTTTTAGCATGATTGTAGTTCTATGTGTCAGGAACCTTTATCCTAACTGCTGGACTAAAATAATGCATCGCTTTTCTTGAATGGATAAAAAGTGTAAATACATACAGAAAATATGAGGAGCATAAACAAGAAATGTAGACTGTTATCTTAGCAAATGTGTGTGTGTTTGTCCTTTTATTTCTACAGCATGATGCTCCTGTGAAGACTATCCATTGGATTAAAGCACCAAATTATAGCTGTGTGATGACAGGAAGCTGGGATAAAACTTTGAAGGTATGATTTTTACCTGAACAAATGGACACAAAGTGTGCTAGTAATCTGTGTATGAAAATACGTGAAAGTATTTTATTATACACTAATACAAAAAAACAAGTTAATGAAATAGCCTCGCTTCACAGAGAGCTGCAGTATTCTGACTATAGACAAGAATGAAACAACTTGGTACCAGGTACCAGTTGTATTCTCTATAATGAAGTAATTTAAAAGGTGTGCCCTCAACTCAAGTTTGTTCATTTCTCTGTCTCCATCAGTTCTGGGATACCCGTTCACCAACACCTATGATGACATTGCAGCTTCCTGAAAGATGTTACTGTGCAGATGTGGTAAGCCATGATATACGGTAAACTAGTGTCAGCTAGATGACTGGGAGCATGGAGAGACTGGCAGTCTTTGAGGCCTCTGTAGGTTGCCACTGAATACCGACTGTTGGAATGATAGGATAGTGTTCAATCTCTGTCTGATTTTGGCAATAAAACATGAATTGATCATCATGAATCAGGCTCTGGAAAATAGGTATTTGCATCGTACAAAACACGCTTAGTATCCTTTTAACATCACAAAACCAAATCAGTGCTAGGACTGACCTACCATCATTTCTGGATGAGTCTGCGTGACCACTGTTGTGATGCACGTTGGAAGGGTCAGCTAATAATTAGAAGATTTTTGGTATGTTTAACTTCTCAATGGCTGGGCAGAACTGATTTGTTTTGTTTGAAAATAGGTCTACAAATGAACTTCTTCCCCTTTCCTTCCTTCTTTTCCCCTCGGAAAATAGTTTTAATTCCTTTAACTTCTTCAGGGATTTCTGCGAAATAATAAAGAGAATTCTCTGCCGTGCTATTAACGCAAGTGTCTCTCTTCCAACCTATTTTACAACCTTATCCAGGTTCATCCTATGGCTGCTGTGGCCACTGCAGAAAGGGGTTTGATAGTTTATCAGTTAGAGAATCAACCTTCTGAATTTAGAAGAATAGAATCTCCTCTTAAACACCAGGTAAATGATTATATTTATTACAAGCATATTTATACAGATTGTTGAAATTCTGGGCTTGCCATTTTTTGGTAAAAACAACCAGTGTTTCAAAACCGAAGTACTTTATCTGGATATGGCGCATGTCCTGGTTTGCCATTAATCTATTGCTGATCTTTCTAAGTATTTAGAAATGTAAATACTCAATACTCTCAACAGACTTTGACCTATCTCTTGACCTTGTTTTAGCTTTACTTTATGTTGATGCATGTGATGTTTTGTGTCCCCAAGGACAACAAACAACATTCAGAAAATCTGGCCCTCAGGCCTCTGTCTAAAATCTTCTGTATCTTTCTCAAATTTAGCATCGCTGTGTTGCTATTTTTAAAGACAAAGTGAACAAACCTACTGGATTTGCCCTTGGAAGTATTGAAGGAAGAGTAGCTATTCATTATATCAACCCCCCAAATCCGTAAGTATAATTTAATAAAACATCCTTTCTTTATTGCTTAGTTTACAATGAGGAAAGTAAAAAGACTTTTTTTTTTTTTTTTTTTCCCCACCCCCCAGCGCAAAAGATAATTTCACTTTTAAATGTCATCGCTCCAATGGAACAAACACATCAGCACCTCAGGATATCTATGCTGTAAGTATTCAGCGTATACCACTAGATCATTTATACAGGGCAATATACACTCTTAATGTAAAATTGGCTCCGAGTTGTTTGTTCTCCTTGACCCTTTATTGTGCCTAAAGTTATCTTAGACATATGTTTAAAGACCAGTTATAGCCGTACATTAAGATGAAAGGCAAATTTTTGTACTTCCCTTAAAACAAGCACCGCATCAACCATTGATTAAATCATCTTGGTGGAGGTGACACTTGTTAATTTTGCTGATATTGAAGCAATACTTAAATATATTTGTGTAACAGGATTATGCATTGAATTTTTAGGCACTACAAAAAGGGTGATGCTTTCCTTGTTGCTTCGGTGGGGTTTGGGGTTTTGTTTGTTTGTTTTTCCAGATAACATAATCTGAAAACATTTAAAAAAAAAATAAGAACTATATCTAGTTGAAAAAAATCTTTCCTGTGTATTTACTATGTCAGGGTTCAGCATGTGTTGTGAGTGTTGCCATGTGTGGTGTTTCACATAGTATTTTTTATGATCCTGCAGGTAAATGGGATAGCATTTCACCCTGTCCATGGTACTCTTGCAACAGTAGGGTCTGATGGTAGATTCAGCTTTTGGGATAAAGATGCACGAACAAAGCTAAAAACATCAGAACAACTTGACCAGCCGATATCTGCTTGTTGTTTCAACCATAATGGCAATATATTTGCATATGCTTCCAGTTACGATTGGTCAAAGGTGAGAAGGATTTAGACTCATGTTCATACTTGCAGTTGACAGCTAAGACTCTCCTTTTCACATGAGGCTTTTGCTGTCCTTTCTAAATAGTAGCTGAGTCTTTCTAATTTCACAAGCATGTAAGAGAACTTAAAACGGTTGTTTAGACACCTGGTAAAATTTAACACTGAAGTAGTGCATTCTTTGGTTTTTAGCTTCAGTTGGATAAATTGTGAACGATGTTATTTTTGCAAATGTGAATGGGCTAAACGTAAATGACACGATGCAGAAGTTATTCTGCTTGCTCACACACATTCTGCTGTGGGGAGTGTCATGGGGCAACGTGGCACCCTAGCAGGTTCCCACAAATCTCTTTGAAATGTGCATCTGCTTCTTCTCCAGGTTCTCTTTCACTTTAAAAAGAGCTGTGACTGTGGTTATAAACACTCAAACCAGTGTTTGAATGGCGTGTACTAAATTTCCAGTAGCATTCAGTGCAGCTTGGTGGTGGCGCTTATTTATGTATTTCTCTTCCAAACTTGACTCCACAATAAATCTCACAGATGCAAGAGAATTGCAACGAACCGTAGTATGTGGAGAATCAGTACTTCTTGATAGTTTAACAAGGCGGCCACAAGGTTGACATATAACTGATTTTAGTGGAATGGCAACTTCCATTAAAGGTATTATTCTCCTATTATAGCTAGCGCTTTTTAAATTTGAAGATACCATTCCTTGCGGTTTTGACTGAAATGAATGTGGAAATCACACAGAGTAACTTGATTGCATGCCACAAAGAGAGCAAAATTTTAATTTACTGCATTGTATCTGGTCTTCTGGATGCTGCCCAAAGTAGGGTAACTTTGTTAGATGCTAGGGCAGATGAATGCTTCTGTTCTAAACGCTTGGGCAGACTGCAATGGTAGATTGGTACCAAGGTATCTTTCAGATCTGTAAACCAGTATCAAGTGGTAAAAACAGTAGGTACTAAATTTCCTTCTAGAACCATTTTTGTCAAGTGGAGTTGGTAATTTTCAAGTTGTGCGTTGGACTTTAATGGCTTTATTAGTGTTTACTCTCCCTGATTTGAATACTGGCATATTGAATTGGTAATGTCTATGCAAATAAAGTCAATATGCAAAATAGTATATTTGCATCTGCAGTTGGGGAACAAAGATCTTTTTGCAGTTGCCTGTAGAACTTGGGCTTCACTTTGAAATAAATGTGGCCTTAATTCATTTAAAAGAAAAATATAAAGTGAAACTGGGTGGCCATTAAAGTTTTGGTTTCTTCTCTGCCTAGAATGATGTTTAAAAAAAATAATTATATTGAGCTCTTATCCTTCATCTAAAAAGTAGAGCTTAGAGATACGTGGTTATTTTTTTATGAAAAGTTTTTTTTATACCTTAAAAATGGATAAATGTCCCTTAAATTTTACTTTATATGCACAGTTCTTGTCATTACTTATTACAGTAAGCTGTTTCTAATCCAACAATGTCATCCAATATCTGGCCTTAAAGACTTCAAATCTTGATAAACCAAACTAGTGGAATATTCATATTACATTTTAAGGTAATGCTAATATTTCTTCTTCAAAGAGAGTAAATAAAGATTATTTTTCTTTTTAGGGTCATGAATTTTATAATCCACAAAAGAAAAACTACATTTTTCTGCGAAATGCAGCAGAAGAGTTAAAGCCTAGGAATAAGAAGTAGTGAGTATGAGTTTGACTTGTGTTACTCTACTGTTTTCCTGCCATTCCTGCCTCTACTCCACTGCTCTTCTGCCATTTGTGCCCTATTGCACCACGGTTCCATCAACTTTGGATCGCTAACATTTAGCAGGAACTGTAAAAATTACATGAAATGTATTCTGACTTGCTGGAGAACTTTTTTTCAAATTAGATACTCTGATAAGAAAGAGAGGCTAGTATTCACATGACAACCACTGTGGGTTCCACCACAATAATGAAATTGCAGCAAGATCTGAATCTGGGTTAGATATTCCTGCTTAGAAGTGCAACCATTTGTATCTATGGATTTATTTTATTAGTACTACATTAAGATATGCCCATTATAATAGTTCTGGAGAAGTTGTATAAATACTGTATTTTTTGTAAGTACTTGAAGAATTGCAAGTAATTCTTCTCAGAGTAGGCTTGTTACTATTCAGGGGTTTTCATTGCTTTCTGATTTTTAAAATGGAAATATTGTCTACTGTATGCCAGGAAGAAATGCCTGGCAAATTGCTTTCCCTCATTTTTTGGATGAATTTGGTAGGTATGCAAGTGGCCAACAGCAGTGACAGGAACTCAAGACAGAAGATGGGCACAGTGCAAATTCTACTTTAGTTTTTTTCTTACGCTCCAGCAATGGACATGACTTTTGAGCCGACGATACTGATGCTTATTCTAGTCCAAAGGAGGTATTGTCAGTTGTGCCAAGTGATACATAGTTCAGAAATACAAGCAAACCATTGAAGAGTTTGTTTTGTTTGTGACCAAACCAATGTTTGCAAAACACTCGTGGACTAAACTGCTTTAAAACTGACACCTTTCAGAGTTGAAAGTTGGTTCTTTTGCATCTCTCTTAACGTGTTTTTGTCCCTTAACAGGGGTTTCTGGACTGAAAAAAGTACTCATTTTTGTATTAAGTAGAAAATAGTGCTGGTGAGTTTCATCCTGATCAAAAATGCTGTGAAACTAAACAAGTGGGTCTCTTTCTGGCTTGAATCTACCACTGTTTACTTTTAACTAGTCGGTTGTATACATGCCAAAGTTTTCTTTTTAGAAGCGAATGCTTATTATTCCTGTTTAACTATTGTTTGTTTGATAACGACTAAATAAAAATGGGGGGGCGCATGTATAGAAATACCTGTCATATTGTACAAATTCTCTGTAAAACTGTATGTCGTAACGATTATGGTTCTGGATTCATGCTACATTTCAAATAAAATTTTTGCTAAATACTTTTTTTATGTATTTCATGCAAAAGTTTGTATTACAATAACATGTTTATATGCAAAAGTTCTATTACAATAACATGGGCAAGGTGGTGTGCTTCACTTCTAAAAGCAGCTTCTTGTCCCTTCACTGTAATTCAGATACATTTTCTGAAAGTACAGTACTTTTCTTCCAGCTGCTTGAGCTGGAAATCTAATGCTTTTTCCAGTTGCTATTTCATTATGAATGATTCCTGTGGGTTTGCGTTAAAGGGTTGAGAGGACTAGTGTGAAAGGCCGTTTGTTTTATGAGAATGAGTCAAGTTCCTTTCTATCTCAACAGCCAAACACCTGACGATTCGTCTTTAGTACAAAAGAATCATCCTATCTCCAAACTCTGCACCCTACTCGTCCTTTAACTTCAGACTCTTCATGGTCTTCAGTAGTTTTTTGTTGGGTGTGTATTTCTTGTTTGGTATAGTTGAGGAAAGTCCTCTGCTGTTGTAGAGAGATGCTTTTTCTGGGTTTTATTTCCCAAGTTCCTTTTCCTGCTACTTCTATGTTTTACATGGTTTTAGATTTCACATTGATGGACTATTTGTTTTCTTAAAGATAGGAAAGAGTTCCCAGCAGTTACATCAATAGCAGGTCATTTGCTCAGAAATATATTTTGGTTTTGTTGAATTGTATTTTTAAAGGTTGTGATTGTTAGGCTGTTATCTTTTGGTTGCTAGCACATTTTTCCAGTCTTCCCAGTCAAGTGAATGCCACCAAGCAATTGCAGGCTAAAGGTTAAGTGTGTGATCATTGATGGAAAAAAAAAATAATCTGATCTCTTGTGTGCAGAACTCCCACTGGTGTAAACAGGGAAGAATGGAATGTATCATCTGTTTCTTGTTTAAAAAAAAAAAAATAATCTGTTTATTTGTTTAAACACTTAACAATGCGAATGAGTGATGAGAAAATAGATATGCTCTAGTTCAG